TAAAATAATGTGAAAGCGTAGTCTGGCATTTAGATGTCCTACAGGACTGAGGATGATAATTCCTTCAAAACACTTTATCTGCCTCTTCCCATGGGTCTTATTATCATTATTCTCATAGACTAGGTTCTAGACACAATGGGTACCCACCAATATCCAGCTCTCAGAAGACGGGGCAATTATAGATTTTCTTGGCTCCTCAGACTTCAGAAACATCTTGGGTTTTTGGCCTGCTCTGACTTGAGGGCTGGTGTTTGCTTTGATTGCAGCAATTTTCTTTGCCTGTTTCATTCGGATATGTTTCACTCTAAGGAAATGAGCTCTTGATCAGTTCTGGCTCTCCACCTCCTTGTATCCCCACATGGGCTGTGGTCTTGATCAGAAGTTCTAGTTTAGAGCCTCAACAACACTATCAGCTGGCCGGGTGATCTAGGGCAAGCCACACAACCTCTCTGGGAACTGGTCTCACGCCCTCTATAATGGAAATGCCTTGCTTATCAGTCTGTGAGGCTCAGATGAGGTCAGCTATAAAAGGGTCAAACTGTAAAGAGATTGCTATTGGTCTTAAGTCCAGCTGATTATACTTTGAAAATAGCTCCTCAGTTTACCCTCACTCCTCACTTCTCTTCTTTCTCTCCCCTAGTAGCCAGTCATTCCCAAATCCCACTCCTCCGGCTGCCCACATCATTCACCCCAGGTCAGGCCTGGCCCTCCTGTTGAGATTTCGGCACCAGCTTACTGCCCAGCCTCTGACCTCCTGATTCTTGCTCTCAGATTTGTGTCCCACCTCTTAGCATTCTTTCACGGCTCCCAAGTGAAGATCCCCTGTCTGACTCTCTGGCCTGACCTCCAGCAACTCTGCCTCCTCACTCCAGGCTTCTAGCCAGTATGTTTAGCCATGTTTCAAGGGTCTTTATGAACCAACTCCAAAGACCTTTTCAACCTCAGTTTTAACCATTATCTGTCATTCTCAGTGCAAATGACATTATACAAAGACACTGGAAATTCCTCAAGCATGCCCCTTGGTTTCTGTATATATGAGAGTACTTCAAAAAGTTTGTGGAAAAATAGACTTGAAAAATAATACAAATATTTCCACGAACTTTTTGAAGTACCCTTGTACTACTTTCCATCAAGCTAATAAGTACGCAGCCTCCCACACCCACCTCAGACAGCACACTGGGGATTCTCTGCTGGCTTCTCCAGGGCAGCCAGTCCCTCCTTGGCTTTCTCTTTTATAACGTGCACTGAAAACATCTGTCCCATGACCCGTCTTATGACTCAGTATAGGCTCGACGGCCCTGAATTTTGGTGACCGAGTTTGGTACCTTTCTCCTTTTTCAGACCCTGAGGGCAGGGGTCTGGCCTATGCCCTCTCTATGCCAGTGCTGCAGCCAGGGCCTGCCAGGCTTTGGGAGAGGCTTGCAGGTGAATTTTAACCCTGGTACTTACATGAGGGGGAGGAGGCAGAAGAAAAGCAGTGCAATTGTGATGGCTCCATAGACAACACCCTGGATCAGCCCTTTAAGGAAGGCCTGGGAAACCAAAGAACTCTTTCCTGGAAGTAGAGATCATGTGAGAAAGGCTCCCCTCCTGAGATGTCAGAATCAGAGCCAAAGCTCTGCTCCCTCCTCCAGCCCTAGTGCCAGTCCCCATCATGTTCATTGTCCTCATCCAGTCACCAAGCCCCCTCCATTCTCACTTGACATCAGTAGGATGCTCAAAGCATGGGTTCCATTTTGGTTCCTCCCTTCACAGAGAAGCCTCATGCCCATTTTTGGCTCCTCAGTTAGACTGATGGTGCTGTTGGCCCAGGGGCCAAGCATGGTGGAAGTCACCTGGTGGCTGCCATCAGTGCCGTTCATTCTAATGGGGGCACCTCCCATCCACCACTGCACAGAGGGAGTGGGGATCCCGTGGAAGGAACAGCTGCACTGCAGTGTCTTCTCCAAGGAGCAAGAGGAGTTGACTAGTCTGGCAGGTGCTGTGGGGAGAAAGAGTCAGGAGTCAGCCAGGCATCCTGACTTTCCTTCTCCACTTCCTCCAGGACCTAGTCTTCTCCCTATTCACTATTCTCAAGGAGTTTCAGAAAGGCTTTCTGGCCTCACAGACTAGTTCCCCTTCATCCCCTCTCCTCATCGGGCCTTTTATTTTTTTCCCAAGTGGCCTTAACCTGAGCACTCAACCGTCTATGGCAAGTACATTTTCTGAGGGTCTACATTGCCTGTGATCCCATACCTCCCCACTAGGCTAGATGTCCAAGCCTGAGCTCCTACTCTGATTCTCTTCCTTCCAACCCCAACTTTCCCCTTAGGCTCTGTGATCAATTTCTCCCTCCATCATTTACTGTCTGCATGCTGTCGGGCAAGTCACTTCCTCTCTCTTTGCTGTTTCCTAGTCTGGGAAATCGAATGTTCACTGAACCTGTCTCGTGTTATTATTGCTGCTGTGAGAATGAACGTCCTGAAGTTAGCAGTGCTCCTAGTTCAGTGTGTTAAGTATTACCCTTTCAATAAACAGAACTTCTTTCTCAATTTCCTTCTTCCTGGTCTCAAGTGGCCTTTGATTAAACACTCGTCTGAAGCCAAGACTGCTATGGCATTTTCGGGGTAAGAGCTTTTGAAACTGCCTTCCTCTACATAGAATAGGTAGGACATGTTGACCATTTGATGAATACATGTGTTAATAATTAGTAGTCACATTCATCAAGGTCTCCAACAAGGAGAAATTGGTTTTTAGTGTTTTCCCATCCTTTTCATTGGGGTTGCTTGAGGTTACTGGAAGAAAGAGGTAATTGTTCCTTAACTAGGAGCTCTTGACCTTGGACTTTTCATTTGGGTCAGTTGCAGAGAGGAGGGAGAGGGTGCTGAGGAATTTGCAGGGGATTGTGATGCACCGTCCCCTCCACTGCTGTCCTCTTGGTTGTCTTTACCAACTAGGATAGCATGCTTACAGAGATGCTGAAAACACTGACTAACTTGATGGCTTCCAGTAATATTTACAATAGCTCCTTGTGGTCTCATGTCTTCATACTCCCCTGACTAAGCTATCAATCTCACTCCCAATTCCACTCTCTGGCTCAATTTGCTATTTGCCCCACTTAGAAACCCCTAGCTTTGCCAGAATCTGGCACACAGACGATGTCTAATCCATTGGTTATTTGGTAATTACGCCTTTACGCTCTCTCTCTTCATACCACCATAGCTCAGCTCACCCCTGGCCCTGGAATCTTGGCTTCCTCAGACACCCCCCATGCTGTTTCTCATCTTACTTACCCAGCTGTGGTAGTGGAGGTACCATATGCAGCAGCAACAGTTCTCAGGAACAGGAGAGTCCCTTTGCTATGCTGGCTCTGACATTAGAACTGTGTGATTCAGAAGGACGAGGTGATGGGTATCTGAAAGAGGATGTAGGGTAGGAGGAGAAAAAAGTACTCTTAGCAAGGCAGGGGCTTCTTTCTCTCTGGTCATCCTGAAGACCTGTTTACTTCGAGAAGCAGGAATTACATGGGATGAGACGTTCAAGAATACCTAGGGACAGGAAGGCGCTGCTGTCATCCTCTGTGAAGCCCAATGTCATGTCTCCTTTCTTTCTCCCCTAGTCTTTTACTCCCAGTCTCTACCCCCTCGAGAGGGCCTCAAGTGCCAGGTCATTTGGGTTCTCTCTTAAAGCTAGTGGGGATCCATGGACGGGTTGTGCACCACAGAGAGACAGGGTCAGGAGGTTTGTGTATTTGGAATATCCCACTGGGGGCCACATGAGAAACAGCCTGAAGAGGGAGCGATTGCAGACGAGGTGGCCAAGGGAGAGACTGTGGTTGTGACTGGGAAAGAATGACACACTTGAGTTGGTGCGTGGGCTCAGAGGAATGGAGAGAATTGGACAGATTTAACAGATATTTGGGAGAAGAAAAATAGACAGGAATTCCTACTATTGATGTGAAAAGGTCCAAACTTTCTTGCTTTGCAAATGAGGCCCTCCACAATTTTGTTCCTTCCTTACCTGATGTTCGCCTGTACATTTTCCAACATTTTTCATGCCGAAGAGAAAATGGTGCCCTTTCCAAATTTCACATTAAACATACCTCTGTCTTCACTCAGGGATTTCCCCCTTCACAGCAGTTCCTTTTGCAACTCCTCTTTGCCTACGTTCAAATCTACTTGAATTTCAAAGCTGAGTTTAATGCCTCTTCCTACGTGCAGCCTTTCCTGATCTCCCTACTCAGTCAGAATATATGCCCCCTTCCAGAATTACCCCAGAATCCAGATTATGAAACATTCTAGAAGACAACTTGCTTGGACTCTTGAAAATGTCAATGCCTTGGGGAAAAAAGTGGAAAGGCTGTTTGAGACTGAAATACACTAAAAAGACAGAACACTCATATATGAAGTGTGATCCGAGAGGTCATCCCGAGCCAATTAACATATATGGAGAAATTTGAATATGGGCTGGATATTAGGTAATATGGAGTTATTGTTAATTTTCTTAGATGTGACAATGATATTGTCATTTTATGGGGAAATGACCCTCTTCTTTTTTTTTTTTTTTGACCCTATTCTTAAAGAGAATTTAGAGGTGACTTTTCAAGATGTGCGGCAATTCATTTTCAAATGAGACAGCAAAGAGAGTGACAGAAACAAATATAACCAAATGTTAGGAATTGTTGCATACAGGTGGAGGGTATGTGAATATTCAAATTTCAAATTTCAAATTTTCTGAATGTTTAAGATTTTCATAATCAAAAGCTAGGGAGAGTATTTAATAATGATAGATTTTCATAAGCTTATTTAAGTGTTGATTCCAATTACAATGCTATTCTAGGTGAGAGGTTTCCTTGTTCAGCAAATCGACTTACTCCCTGACACTTGATCTTTCAGTGAATTAATTGGTAAAAGCTCTTTCTTTACTCTGATAAAGAAAACACGTGATGCAGTTTTCAACAATCAGGTGGACATTATAGTATGTCTCTACTGACATGTCTCAGGAATATATAAGCTTTTTGATTCTGAGTCATGATTCAGAGATCTTGACCATTTTATCCTCCTTAGGATAAGGATTCTGTTCAGACGAGGGCATGTAAAACATCAACATCACAGATGCTGCAGAATGTGATCATTCTTTCCCACCATATTTGCAAAAATTAAGAAAATAACCAATGCTTACAGAAGTAGTAGTAGAAGTTGAAAGTGGTTCAGCCTAAATCCCTGGAAGTCAATTCGGAACCATCTAGAAAAATTTTAAATAGACATGTATTTTGTTTTAGCAATTCCCCTTGATATTTTTATAGAAATATCTGCACTACACAGAAAGACATAGGCATGAGGTTGTTCACTACAACATTATTTATGGCAAAAAAAACCCTACAAAAAATCTAAGTATCCTACAGTAAGTTGATGGTTAAGTAAATTATGATAATGTCCATAAATACTTAGAATACTATGCAGCAGTCACAAATAATAAAAGAAATCCACATGCTCTGATATGGAAAAGATCTCCAAAATACATTATTTTAGAAGAAGAAAGAGGACTTCTGGTCAAGATGGCAGAATAGACGGTCTCCAGCATCACTCTCTCCCACAAATCATCTAATTTACAACTATTAAAAAGTAACGACAGCCAAGCTGGGGCTGCTAGAGCTCAGGGGAAGAGGAGGAGAGACCTACAGANCCACGATGAGAGAAAGAAAAAACCTCTTCAACACTTTTGAGCCCCGGCCACTTCCAGGCTGGAATTGCTGAGCCCACAGAGCAGGAGCCAGCAAAAGCCACAGCTATGCCCTTCAGATGAAGTTGCATGGAGGTGGCAGGGGAGAAGAGGGCCTTGGTGACCCCAGGACAGCAAGACCACTAATAGGATTCCTGTGGACCCACATAGGAGTGAGGAGCCACAACAACTGAAATAAAGGAGCCACTCAGAGGCCGGTGAGTCATCACAAGGGACCAGCGTATAGCCCTTTCTATGTGAAGTGTTTGCAGTGTGGGCAGTGGGGGAGATGGGCCCACTGGGAGAACACTGGGGCACAGCAATGGCAGCTGATCTGCATCCCAGTAAGTGAAGGATCACACGGAGGAGACTGGTCGGGAATATAGAATCGCATGGGGTGCTGTTTGATGAAAAGACTCAGGCCCAGACCAGTGTTTCGACACAACCCAGGTGCATTGGATTTCATAATCCTGGAAGTACCTATAAAGTCAACCATTTAAACCTGAGCTGCACAAAAAGCCTTCTGCAGGGAATCAGCAGCAAAGCAGCAATTTGGCTCAACCACAGAGCTCAAGTACTGCTCCCCACAGGAAGCTCCCCCACTTTAGAAGTAAGCAAAGAACAACAAATTAGTTCCAGTGCAGAGTTTAAGTTGTGGGAACAGCAAATAATCCAACACAGAACTGAAAGAAAAAACAGTACCCACAACCAGAGACAAAGTTTGATATTAACTAGTAAAGGTCTCATTTCACCAAAGAATACCTATAACACCTAGAAGGACTGGAAGTCCCCTGGGCTACCAAGCCAGAAAGGGGGGACAACCAGGAACCCTGCCAGCACCACAGGGCCTGCCTGGGGTCCTCAGGTATGGAGCTGCGGACTGGACCCTCCACCCACAACCAGGCACACCACCATCGCCACCACCAACTAGGTAAGGAGCATGCCAAAAACATCACATCCATGTGGGTGGCCCACCACAGTAACCACAGCTGCCACGAAAGTGGCTAGACCCCACAACCACTATGCATATGGTCCACCAGCCACTGGAGTGCATTGACACAAGGGGAGTCACCAGCAGAGACCAAGGAAAAGAAGAGGATGTCTCTTTCTACAAAGCTCATTCCAGAGTGACAGAAGAAGCATCTGCTCTACAATAATATTGGGGGGCCTGAACACACCTCTCAGCATTGGACAGATCATCTAGGCAACAAATCAACAGAGTAACCAATACTTTCTCAGAAGGAGAGAAGAAATCTAGGGTAATTAAAGGGGGGAGTGGAGAAAGAAAGGGGGATGGGGAGAGATTGGACAAGGGGCATAAAGAATAAGTATGATTTGTAACAATATATATGCTGGTAATATTGATTTGATCAACATTTGTCAATGTTGAACCCTAAAAATATGTATAATCGATTATTATTCAATAAAAAATTTTTTAAAAAGAAGAAAGAGTACAGAAATACACATACACACAAGCACATGAGGGTACTTCAAAAAGTTCTTGGGAAAACAGAATTAAAAGGTAATACAAATCTTTCCATGAACTTTTTGAAGTACACACATATATATGAGTGTGTATATATGTGTGTGAATGCACACACACAGATTAAGTTTTAGACATTTTTTGTGTATAGGTTACATGTGAATTCACTATAAATATTTTTTCTAGAAACGATAGTGATAAAGGTATTGAATAGAGATGGAGAGTTCATTTATAATGTGCTTCCATATTTTTCAAATATTTATTTATTTTTACAGTGAGAACCTATTCACCAAGTACTTTCAGAATTACAATAGACAAAAATTAATGGTGTTTTATGTCCAATAATATAAAAGCTAGAGAAAAACACAAAAATATGCCTCTTAAAAGCATTGGAGAAGGGTGTGGGGTAAAGGAGGAATTGATAAAGGGCCACAAAAAATGATTACATTGTATAATATTGAATATACTAATTATCTTGATTTGAGCATCACATATTGAATGCAGGTATTGATATTCAACTCTGTACCCCACAGATATGTATAATCTACATGTTTCAATAAAAAATTTTTAAAAATAAAAGCATTGAAGAGCTAAAATTAATAGCAAATAACTACCCAGCCAAAATTCAGAGGAGAATGGATAGTAAGCAGGTGATCCAAGCACCTAAGGCCACTTTTCTCCTGGGAGAATTTTCTGATTCCATAAGGCAGTTGAGAAGCTGAGTGATACTTTGGAGAATCTTTCAGAGTTATGGGGGACAAAAACTGAGGGCCAGAACTCATCAAAGTGGAAGTTGGTACTGGTGAACACCACTGGTTAGGGTTAGGACTTTAAAGGGTATGCCATAGGAGTAAGAGAAAAGTGGAAGTAGAGACATACTCATAGAGGATTACAGCCGATTTTTAAATTATCTCAGTCTCTAAATTGGACTATGGCAACCAGAGAATGCTAAAGCCCTCAGACAACTGACTGAAGCAAAGGTAAATTCTTCCTGGAAGAAGATAACATCAACCTAGATCTAAAATTATTCTACAACAATTTTACAAAAACATTGTCCACCATATGATAAAAAATAAAGGCATGCTAATAAAAAAGACAATTTATAATTAGAAAAAGCCCCAGAAAATACTAACAAACACAAAGAAGTTGAAAATAATGAGCTATTAGAAGTAGACTTTGTAACAGCAATGCTATGTTCAAAGAGAACATAGAATTGCAAATCTTGAAAAATAAATGGAAATTCTGCAACTAAAAAAGATAACTATCAAATATAGAACTCAATGCATGTTGACAATAAATGAGACACAGCTGAAGAGAGGATAAGTGAACAGAAAGATAGGTCAGAAGGAATATCCAGAAGAAAGCTGAAAGAGGAAGAGAGAAGTGGGAGTGA